AAAAAAAAACATAAAACTTAAAAAATATAGAAAAGCTTATAAGCTGGGCATGATGGCTCATGCCTATAATCCCAACACTTTGGGAAGCCAAGGTGGGAAGATTGCTTGAGACTGTGAGTTGGAGACTAGCCTAGATAATGTGACAAGACCCAGTCTCCACAAAAAATTAAAAAATTAACTGAGTGTGCTAGAGCAGTGCCTGTAGTGCTAGCTACTAAGGAGACTAATGTGGGAGGATTGCTTAAGCCCAGTAGTTCCAGGCTGTGGTGAGCTATGATTGTAGCACTGTACTCCAACCTGTTTGTTCAGAGACAGAGCAAGACCCTGTCTCTTAAAAAAAAGAAAGAAAAGAAGAATAAGGATATAAAGAAAGAAAATATTTTTGTACAGCTGTGCAATGTGTTGGTGTCTTAAGCTTTTATAAAAGTTAAAAAGTTTTTAAAGAGCTGCAGTAAGCTAAGGTTATTGAGGAAAGAAAACGTTTTTCTATAAATGTAGTGTAGCCTAAGTGTAAAGAGTTTATTGTCTACAATCATGTACAGTAATATCCTAGGCCTTCATATTCACTCACCCGTCGCTGACTCACACAGAGCAACTTCCATTCCTGTAAGCCTAGTTCATGGTAAATGCTCTATACGGATGTACTATTTTTCATCTTTTACACCATATTTTTACTGTACCTTTTCCATGTTTAAATATTTTAAACACACAAATACCATTGTGTCACAACTGCCTACAGTATATAGTACAGTAACATGCTGTACAGGTTTGTAGGCTAGGAGCAATAGGCTATACTACACAGCTTAGATGTGTAGTAGGTTATACCTTCGAGGTTTGTGTATGTATACTCAAATGATGTTTGTACAACAATGAAATTGCCTAACAATGCGTTTCTCAGAATGTACCCCTATCGTTAAGTGACACATGACTTTTCTTTTTTTTTTGAGACAGAATCTCGCTCTGTTGCTCAGGCTAGAGTGTAGTGGCGTGATCTCAGCCCACTGCAACCTCCATCTCCCAGGTTCAAGTGATTCTCCAGCCTCAGCCTCCCAAGTGGCTGGGAATACGGGGTGGGGGGTGCCACCAGGCCCAGCTAATTTTTCTATTTTTAGTATAAATGGGGTTTTACCATGTTGGCCAGGCTGGTATTGAACTCCTGACCTCAGGTAATCCACCCACCTTGGCCTCTCAAAGTTCTGGGATTACAGGCATGAGCCACCAAGCCTGGCCCACATGACTATTTTCAACATCTTAGATGAAATGGACCAATTTCAGAAAGCCACAAAACCCCAAAACTCATCAATAGTAAAGCAAAAACCTGAATAGTCCTATAACTACTAAATAAATTCATAGTTTAAAAACCTGGAAAATAAACCTGCAGCACCATATTGTTTCATTGGCAAATTTAATGAGACATCTAAAAAAGAAAATACGAATTCTGCGCAATCTCTTCCATGTGTTTTAAAACTTCTTACTTCGAAATAATTTTAGACTCGAAGTTGCAAAAATAGTACATGGAATTCATCTGGTTACCCCCAGGAACATCTTATGTAGTAGCCATTACACATCGTTAGAACCATCCTCCATACATTCTTAATGACAAAGGATTATGTGTCTAAAAATTTTAAAGAATAAAAGTATATGAAGTAAAAAATGAAATCTGTCTCACACCCTAACCCAAAGGCAAACAAATCACTCCACGGGAAAACACTATTAATAATTTGTTGTACATCCCTCCCAGACATTTTCTGTGTATATACAAATATACACAACTACTAAGGAAATATATTTGTTTAATTTTATTTACTTTGATCAGATTGGAATCATTCTGTATATATATATTGTTTTTCAACTTGCTCTTTTTACCCAGTAGGATACCCTGAATCCATGTAAGTGATATTTAACCCCAGTTACCCCAAATAAGAGGATTTTAAGATTGACAGAATTCTGTAAAGACGTTTGGCAGCGTATTTATTTCTTTTTGTTGACAAATAGATTGTTTTGCCTTATTTGCCATCACATATAGTGTGCACTAATCCTTGTTCCTGTGACCTGAAGGGGTAGTTGAGTGCTTTTGAGAATGGGTTTTTTAGAAATTGTGTTGCTGAGTGAAGGACTTGGTGATATTACTTGGGATTTGGCATCTGTGACCCTAAGTGAGATTCTTCTGCAGCAGTGGAATTCAGCCAGAGCCATATATTATACCTCTGTGATGTAGATTAATCGCCTCTCATACCCCACATGCACATTTGAAAATTACTGCCTTCTAAACCTTAAAAAGTTGTGTACAAGTTGATATTTAATAAGTGAAATTGTACAGTTATATCCTGAACCTGATGAGGACTGTCACTGCAGCAATGAGTGTGTTGGTGTGAGCAGTGGCTGGCTCCGGACCTGGGAGTGTCCAGTGAAGGTGTGAGGGGGTGAACAAGGATGACGTTTCCAAGGGGCACCTGGGTCAGAGCAGTGGATCAGATGTGCTCATTGCCTTGAGGATGGGGTGGTTTTAAAAATGGAAGACTTAGGGAAGAAAACAGAGATTCATAATATGCCATTCAGGTCAATTAAATACACAGACACAAAACAGCATGCATTCTATAGAATATATTCTGAAAAACACTATAAAAAACTGTCTAAAAAACACTATAGAAAGGCACGATAAGAAAATATGTCTAAAAGACACTAAATGCAAAGAAAACGTTGCCTGAAGGGGTGGAACACAGTGGGGACAGAGGGAATAAATAAATGGAAGGAGAGACAGACAGGCTTGGGAGGAACCGAGTAAGCTCTCAGAGCGGAGGCTCTGTGCGGAGGGCAGGGCTTTGGCGCAGTGCAGGGTGGAGTAGGTTGTGGTAGGCTGGTCTGGACGAGAGGCAGCTGCCTGGCCCTGAGGCCCTGGCCTCCTTGGCCTCAGGCTCTTCTTCTGTAGGATGGCATATTAATGCCTACCAAGAGGCTTCCGTTGAGGCTTAACTTAGATGTCAGATATTCAACGGCATCAGTATGTTCACACAACAAATCCTACAATAAAAAATTAATCTAAAGTAAATATTCAGTTACGTATTCAATAAACGACTTCAGTCTGTGTCTTTTGATTCACCAGCAGCCTTACTGCTTTGTTTGTTTGGAGAGAAGGGAGGTCTTACAAAACACCAAAAACTCGACTATGTTCACCCAGAGGACAAGCTAGTCAGGAGAATTGTAATATATAATTCTGGTCTAAATAAAGTCTTCAGAACATCACAGATCCACTGTTAGAACTTCAGGTGTGTGTAGGAAGCCAAATAGTGTACTTAGGTTAAGAAGTATTTCCATGATGGTGCATTTCCTACCTCATTCCTAGGTGGTTTAATTTGTTTTCAGACTATTTTTCCTTACGATAATTTATTGGAACAGCGGTCCTTTTTCCTCCTTTCGAAAGGACACCCCTTGGCCTAGGAGGGCTTGTGTCCCATGGGTCCCTTATTCCATTACTTGGGAAACTTGAACCTGTACAGGAATTACTGGAGGATCTTGATAAAGTACAGATTTGGATTCTGTCAGTTTGGGGTATGGGTCAGAGTTTGCATTTTTGGCAAGCTCCGAGGGATGCTGATCACAATTTATTTTTATTTTTTTACATTTCTTTTTTTCTTTTATATATATATATATATATATTTTTTTTTTTTCTTTTTTAAAGTAAAAATTAAAAAAATACAAACTCTTGTGTCAAGGGCTGACTTTCAATAGATCGCAGCGAGGGAGCTGCTCTGCTAAGTACGAAACCCCGACCCAGAAGCAGGCCATCTACCAGTGGTTTAGCGCCAGGTTCCCCCCGAACGTGCGTTGCGTCATGGGCAAGGAGACGGTTGCCTTTCTGGCCGCTGCCCGTTTCCCAGGACGAGGGGCACTCTGCACCGGACCCCAGTCCCGGCCCACAGCGGGACACACCCCGAGCAGGGTGGAGCGGCCCGCGGGCGGGGATGGCGGGGGATCGGCTATCAGAGGGAGGCCATCCGAGTTTAACTGAGGCCCCACGGTGCTGCTGTGTCGTATTGCCTGGGCGGGATTCTGATTTAGAGGCGTTCAGTTATAATCCCACAGATGGTAGCTTCGCCCCATTGGCTCCTCAGCCAAGCACATACACCAAATGTCTGAACCTGCGGTTCCTCTCGTACTGAGCAGGATTACCATGGCAACAACACATCAGCTGATCACAATTTTTAAAATTTGAAGTATTATTTACACACAGTAAAATTCACCCTTACTCTTCTATAGTGGTACAAATTTCTTTTTGAGACGGAGTTTTGCTCTTGTTGCCCAGGCTGGAGTGCAATGGCACGATCTCGGCTCACTGCAACCTTTGCCTCCTGGGTTCAAGCAATTGTCCTGTCTCAGCCTCCCGAGTAGCTAGGATTACAGGCATGTGCTACCACGCCTCGCTAATTTTGTATTTTTAGTAGAGACAGGTTTCTTCATGTTGATCAGGCTGGTGTCGAACTCCTGACCTCAGGTGATCCACCCGCCTGGGCCTCCCAAAGTGCTGGGATTACAGGCGTGAGCTACCGCACCCATCTAGTGGTACAGATTTTTGACAAATGCATATATTCATGTAACCACCACTACACTCCAGGCGTAGAACAGTTTAACCACCCTCAAAATTCCCTTTTTCTTTCCTCACTCCCATCTCCTGGCAACCACTACCTGCCTCTGACTCTATGGTTGTATCTTTTCCGGAGTGTAATAAAAATTGAATATTCAACATACAGCCTTTTGAGTCTGGCTTCTTTCACTCAGCAGCATTCATGTGAGATCTATCCAAATTGCTGCGTGTATCAGTAATTTCTTCCTTTCTTATTGCTGAGTGGCATTCCATTTTATGGATCCATGATAGTTTATTTGTCCAATCACTCCATGGAAGGACATTAGTGTTTCCAGTTTTTCAATTATGAATTAACTTTAAATTTAAAAATTTTGGAATTGGAGAAGAAATGTAATTCTTTTTTCCATTGTTGTTTTAGGTGACATCACTCAAAAAGGATATGAAAAGAAAAGGGCAAAGCTGCTTGCACGTTATGTACCACTTATTCAAGGTAAGGTCAATACACTCAGGTGTTTCATAGCAATTATATTTTTTCATAAAATGTGATTTTAAAATTGTTTTTAGAGTTTAACATTCGTTAGCAATGTTAAACCAAGTTTAAACATTAGTATATGTTGATTATTATTGAGATGGGGTCTTGCTTTGTTGCCCAGGCTTGTCTTGGAAAATATGCATCTAGTATTAATACAATCCAAAGGCATAGATTATAATTTAAAGCTCTGGCCTGGTACAGATCTCAGACCTCATTCCCAAAGAGGATTTATTTTATTTTTATGATTATGAACAGCCTGGCTCATTTCCTGACTGGGGCTAGAGCATCTATTATAAAGACGTCAGTTCTTCCCACATTAGATTGATTTGTGGATTCAGTGCATTCATCATTTCAATAGTTTTTTTTTTCTTTGTGGAACTTAATAACTAACAAGTTAGTTCTAAAATGTATATCCGAGTATAAAAGGTCAAGAGACCCAAAATATGTTCAGAAAAGAATGAGGTGAGAGGATTGGCCCAACCAGGATATGAAGAGTTATTATAAAGCCATTGTCACTAAGACAGGGTGGACAGCCCAGACAAATGCATAGATGTGTGGACTTTGCACATGGGAATGGTGGCATGGCAGGCATGGTGCTGGCATAGTTCTTTGTCCACATATAAAACACATGACATTGGAGACAAAAATCAGTTCCAAATGTATTAGGCCTAAATGTGAATGGCCTTTAAAGCCTTTAGAAAATCTTACAGAACAATTGTTATAATCTCAAGATAGGAAGGATTTTTTCACATCACTAAAGGTGCCAAAACTCAGGAACCATAAAGGAAAGGATTGATTAATTGGACTACATGAATATTAAGAATTTCTTATTATCAAACATCATCATAAAGAGATTGCAAAGGCAAACTACAGAGTGTGAGAAGATAGCCGTAACACAGATAAGAACTAGTATCCAGAATCCACCAAGCAGTGCTGTCCAGTAGAAATTCTTGCATGTTCTCTGACTGCACTGTCCAATATATGAAACACCAGCATGTGTGATGATTGAGCATAAGAGACAAGGTGTCACTCTGTTGCTCAGGCTGGTGTGCAGTAGTGTGATCATAGCTCACTTCAGTCTCAAACTCCTGGGTTTAAGCAATCCTTTCGCCTCAGCCTCCTGAGTACGTGGGATTACAGGTGTGCACCACCACGACCAGCTCATTGATTGAGATGGGGTCTCACTATGTTGCTCAAGCTGGTCTTCAACTTCTAGCCTCAAGCGATTTTTCAGCCTTGGCCTTCCAAAGTGCTGGAATTACAGGTGTGAGCCACCATACCTTCCATTAATTTAATTAGTTTAAGCTTAATAGCCAGAAAGTCTTTCAACATAAGAAAATGTCCAGTAGAAAAGAGATGAAGATTCAAATATGTGTTTCATAAGAGGAAATCCAAATAGCCAATGAGCAAATGAAAAGATGTTTAACCTAACTAGTAATCAGAGAAATGTACATTATAACCCCAGCCAACTTTCCTGTTGGAGAAGATTCAATCAGTAGGGTGCAGGCAGCTAGTATTACATAGTAAAGTTGAAGAGGTGTAGCAGTTCTTCAGGTACATACTTGCCCTAGAGAAACTTGTGTTTGTTTGCACCTTATTCTGTTGTACAAGAATGTTCATTATATCTGTAAACTGCCGAGAACTCAAATACCCATCAACAGAATTCATACAGTGGAAAGCCCAAGAGCTATGTGCATCAGCAAAGATGAATCTTACAAACATAATGGGGATGAAAGAAGCAATTACAAAGGCATATAGCCAGTACAAGGTAAAAAAACTTCAAACCGAGCTATTAATATTTAGGGACCTTGCATAGTGAGTGCAGAAAGTAAAGGAAATGGTTTTCAAAGACTCCAGCACACCATTTCCTCATGGAAGTTAGATTGGAGAGGGCCACAGGGACTCCTAAGGCACTAAGTGTTTTGTTTCATAACCTATGGTTTCTTGATGATATTCTTAAACCGTACACATGCTTTATTTTGCCTATATTGGTATGATGCATTTCATAATCAACAGTAAGAAGATTGAGGAGGCTCTTTATATGCTGATTTTTTTTTTTTTTGAGACAGAGTCTCGCTCTGCTGCTCTGGCTGGAGTGCAATGGCACGGTCTTGGCTCACCGCGGCCTCCGCCTCCTGGGTTCACACGATTCTCCTGAGTAGCTGGGATTACAGGTGCCTGCCACCATGCCCAGCTAGTTTTTGTGTTTTTAGTAGAGATGGTGTTTCACCACGTTGGTCAGGCTGGTCTTGAACTCCTGATCTCGTGATCCACCTGCCTCGGCCTCCCAAAGTGCTGGGATTATAGGTGTGAGCCACTGTGCCCAGCCTATGTGCTGATATTTATTCATCTAAAATAGAAACAAACTCAGGGTAAAATTGGAATTGAAGGAAACTATTAAAAATATCTTTAAGGCCCATTTGTCCAAAATCACCAGCAATCATCAAACTAAACAACTGGATACTGTAGCCATTTCCATTCCAAATAGGTCAACAGAAATGCTGGCCATGCCCACTCTTACTCCACATTATTTGGGTGGTCACAGCTGATGCAATGCGACGGGAAAACAAAGCAGAATAAATATTAGAGGACAAAAGATAATCATCTTTAAATGTAGGTGGTATTATTTTATACCTCAGAAACTCATATGACTGCTCATTTAACTTTTAGAATTAGTAAGTGATTTTGGTTTGATACACGTAAAGATAGACGGTAAATATGTGGCTTTTCTCTAGCAATATTTCTGTTTTCAAATATGAAAAAAATCTTACAATGAAAACAAACTATCAAATGCTTATTAATGCTTGTAAGAAAGACAAAACCTATATTAGGATTGTAAAATCTAATTGAAAGAAATAACCAAGACCTAAATATATGAAGAAACATACCAGTTTCCTAACTGGAAAAACTTAACATCCTGTAAAACTGGCAGATTCCAAGTTAATGTGTGAATGTAATGTAGTCCAGTCTGAGTACCAGCCCTGAGATTCTCCTAGACCTAGAATTGGAAGTGACCCATTAGAAGGGGAAAAGTTCTGAGAGTAGCCTATAAATTTTTGAAAAAGAACACTAGTGATAAAGGACTGGCATTTGAGTTACTAAACCTGACTGTGTATGCTTTATAGTCACAACAGGAGGATGTCAGTGTATGGAGTACACGACCCAGTCAGTGGAAGAGAATCCAGACGTGATTTGAGAGGATATGAAGGAGGAGGGTCAATTTATACCTGGTACTATCCTTCTGCAGGCAGGAACCGTCTTCCTCCTCCCCACCATTAGTGAACATAAACTTCAGAAGAATTAAAGTTCTAAATATGTTTTTATTTATAAAAAGCATGAAATTCAGGAGAATATTTGAACACTCTTTTGCTTGGGAATTGTCTTCATAGGCAAGATAAGAGACGTGGGAGCTAGAAAGGAAACGATGCACAGGTGTGATAGGCTCCCTAGGAATGAGAACATTTCAGAATGACGAGCTGCCAGCAGCCAGGCCACAGCTGTGTATGTGTACACAGTTCAAGGTGTCCCCAGCAGACAAGGAGTGAGGCTTCCTGGTCTTTTGGGGGGGTCTCTTGTTGGGTAAATTAACAGAAATCCAAAGAAGAGGAAATGTGGTTGAGCAATAAACATTAAATTATATTCAACCTCTCTAGTAGATATGAAAATGCAAATTAAAGGACACCATTTTTCTCTTATCAGATTGGCAGAAATCTGGAACTTTTTATAACATGTAGTGCTGACAGAGTGGGGAAATGGCACTTTCATGCATTGCTTGTAGGAGTGTGAATTGCTGTAACCTTTTTGGAAAGTTACCTCTTCATGTCTGTTAAATTAAAAATACATCTACTACTTCATCCAATAATTTCACACTAGGTTTTGTGTCTTTGTTGAATAAATGAATCTATCTCAAAGAATGCATATTTTGGACTGTTTAAGTGTAAGGAAGTCCATTTGTGTATATGTCACTTTACAGCATACTTGTTTATCATCATAAGGTGTAAGACTCTGTATTGTCCATTGTGAACTTTAAAGTTGTTTTATCCAGTCACAAAAAGCTGAAAGCCAGTAGGGGCACTGCTTAATATATGTTTTGTATATAAATGTGTGTGTGTGTGTGTGTGTGTGTGTGTGTGTGTGTGTGTGCGTGCATGTGCGCGTGCACAGAAATGTACATGTATATGTACATATGTATGCTTAAATTTTGAAGGACTAACGTTGATTTCTGTAGATAGTGTTCCTATTCTCCAATGCTGCATAACTGACCACCCCAAAATGTACGTAGTGCTTGAACAACATCAGCAGCACCTGTTCCGCTCAAATGTAGAGTGTAGGCCCAGCTCAAATGTTACCTTGTCTCTGTCCACAGAGCCAGAGCAGGGTGCTCAAGTCCTGGTCTGACATCCTGTGAGGGCTCCTCAGTCATGGCTGTGGCTGTTGGGGTGGGGAGACTCCTGCTGCCATGCACCTGGCTCCCCACCCCTGCCTGTGTTTCCCTCTGTCCTCATGTGGCTCCTCCACCGTGGGGCTTAGCACTTTAGACTTGGTGTGTGGTGTTGCAGAGAGCCAGATGGAGCTGTGTCATCTTTCACGACTAGCCTTGGAAGTCATACAGCATCACTTCTGCAACACTGTACTTGTTGGGGCGGTCACTGACCTGCCCAGGTTTGAGGCAGCGTGAACTCTGCCTCTTCATGGAGTGGTAAGGGCTGGAGGAGCCAGTGGGATTGGAATTCCTGCTGGCCAATTTTATGAGACATTTTGAAACAAAGGTTAAAGCTAAACATATATTTTTGTTGAAGCACATCTGCAGGTTTTGCTTTGTGCTGTCAGCAAGGGTTCAAATGATACCAGGGATTTTGTTTAGTGACCTTGAACAATTGTTCCCCATTCCTTCACTCACTGGAATGTGTCTTGAGGGCATCTGTAGCCAGGGACCACTGCCTGGAGAGCAGAGGGCCTGGTGAGGGAGTGTGGAGAGCAGCAATATGCTTTTCATTTGCCCCGATTTGGAGGAGGGCAAGTGGGCGGTGCAGTGAGGGCAGTTGGCCCAGCTTGAGCAGGTCCCAGCCTCTGAGCACTTTGTGCCCTGACATCATCATTCTAATGCCCCCCTTGCTCTTGTTTTCTTTGCCTTTTCACTTTTCTTCCTGTTTGTATCAGAGGGCTACTGGTGGACCCCAGTGGTGGTCTGGTGAGCTGTTTCTTACTCAGGGTTTACCAACACTGTAGACAATGCTGGGCATGAGCAGCACAGGCCATTGCAGACTTGGAAACACAATTCAGAAGTGGGCTTTGAGAGGGCTTTGTACCATGGCTCACACTCCTGATGTGAGCTGCCAGGTACTGTGCTGCCAAGGGTATAGGGCCAGCTGTTTGATCGTCATCCTTCATGCAGTTGGTGAATGAGAGGCAGGGCTGGTGGGTGTGGGGAGAGAAGAGCAGGAAGTAGATGTTGCCCTTAACCCACAGCATTCATGTGTCTGTCACTGACTTCCAGATTAAAGGCTCTTCGATAGAGTGTATGCAACAGATGAGAAATGTATGCTATGTTAAATGGATTTTTTTGTAACTTGAAAAGCAAATTGTTCACATAAGGTATTCCCATATTGTGTTTCAGGAATAGACCCATCTCTGCAAGCAGAGCATAGAATTCCTGGGCCCTCACAAACCACTGCCATGGCACCCAAGCAGCAGAAGTCACGGCCCACCACCTCGAGAGACGAGCGCTTCCGGTCAGGTAGGGTCACAGCCCAGGCAGTGAGAAAGGGTGATGGGCCTGCAGCTCTCAGATTCCCACCCTGAAGTCTTTCAGTTATTTTTTTCTTTGCCGCAATATCTGCCAAATAAATTATCTTCACGTGAGCAGTAATGTACATAATCATGTTTTTTTCAAGAAAAACATTTAACCTTCGCATAATCACAGACTGTTTTAATGTATTATGTAGCTTTAGTGGCATTTTCTTAGAGGATGCCTACAAAAATCTCTGGAGAAGTCTTCCTCTCTCTCTTAATAGAATAACTTCTTTAAAACTTTTATACACTTTTCCACTTGGAAGTTGATACTAATACTTTTTGTGCATTATGAAGCAGCTTTACTGCTAGGTGTAGGCGTTTTAGTATTTCTTTTTCTAATTTTGGAGATTTCCTTCCAGTTAGATTTCTGCCACTGTGGCAGTGCTTTTATGAATATTTAAATTTGTCTCTGATATTTTACTTGAATCAACAAATGTCCATTGAAAAAATTCATGTTTTCTATTATAAGTAACATATTAACAACTTCAGCACATTATCTGTTTAATATTTTCACCACTGTGTGATTGTACATTTTCTTTACATTTAAGTTCTTTCGATATGCCTTTTTCAGAAAAAATTTTAATAGGGATAATGGTTGTTTTAAGAATACTGAAGACAAAGATTAAGATTTTAATTGTTTTTTTCAACAGGGAGTGTGACGAAATAGTCTAAGAAATATTTGACCAGATAATGTCTTATCAATTTGATATACATTTATAAAAAACTTTATCACTTGGAAAATGGCTTCTTCTCTGATTACATAAATAATACATACTTAGTGTTAAATATGTAAAAAATAATTATACCAAGTTTAAGGACAAAGGTAAAGGTAAAAATCACTTGAAACTTCTGAATCCTGAGATAGCCACCCTCAGCATTTCACTGAGCAATGTTGTCTTCATACCTGGATGCAGATACACATGCACACATATGTGTACTTTCCATGGAAGTGGTCATAGAAAAGGTCTCCTCCCTTCGTCCCTTCCTTATTTTCTACATGTCCCCACTCTTCTCCCCAACCCTGCCCCTGCTCATGTAAGTGATATTAATAAACTGATTTCTGCCCTTGTGAAGGTTGTACTAGGTATATTCTTTATCTTTTGAATATAAGTCTTATAAATATGATTTGCCAATATTTTCTCTCAGGCTGTGGTTTGTCTTCGTGTTTCCTTAAAGTATCTTTTGAAGAGCAGAAGTTTTTAATCTTTATGAAGTCTAAGTTATCATTTTTTTAAATGGATAGTGCTTTTGTTCTTGTGTCTAAGAAATCTTTGCTGGCCAGGCGCAGTGGCTCACACATGTAATCCAACACTTTGGCAGGCTGAGGCGGGCAGATCACCCGAGGTTGGGAGTTTGAGACCAGCCTGACCAACATGGAGAAACCCTGTCTCTACTGAAAATACAAAATTAGCTGAGTGTGGTGGTGCATGCCTGTAATCCCAGCTACTTGGGAGGCTGAGGCAGGAGAATCACTTGACCCCAGGAGGCAGAGGTTGCAGTGAGCTGCGATAGCACCACTGCACTCCAGCCTGGGCAAAAAGAGTAAAACGCCATCTAAAAAAAAAAAAAAAAAAAAAAAAAGGAAAATCTTTGATTATCCAAGATTACAAAGATTCTCTGTTGTGTTTTCTTGTACAAGTTTTATAGTTTTAGATTTTTGTGCCATTTTAGTGCCCTGAGGTCTGTGATCCGTTTTTTAGTTAATTCTAGTGTAAATACAAGGTATGGATCAGAGTTCATGTTTTTGGATATAGATGTTCAGCTGTTCCTGAGCCATTCCTTAAGTCTATGCTTTCTCCAACGAATTCCCTTTGGGCTTTATTTTTTTAAGCAGTTGCACATAAATGCATGCATCTATTTCTGGACTCTATTCTGTTGATCTATTCATCTTTTTTTTTTTTAAGACAAATTCTCGCTGTTACCAGGCACCGGGCTGGAGTGCAGTGGCGCAATCTCTGCTCGCTGCAACCTCCGCCTCCTGGGTTCAAGCAATTCGCCTGCCTCAACCTCCCAAGTAGCTGGGACTACAGGCACGCGCCACCATGCCCAGCTAATTTTATTGTTGTTGTTTTTTTTTTTTTTTAGTAGAGTTGGGGTTTCACTATCTTGGCCAGGATGGTCTTGATCTCTTGATCTCGTGATCCACCCACCTCGGCCTCCCAAAGTGCTGGGATTACAGGCCTGAGCCACTGCACCTGACCTTTGAGACAGAGTCTCACACCGTTGCCCCAGCTGGAGTGTAGTGGTACGATCTCGGCTCACTGCAACCTCTGCTTCCGGGGTTCACACGATTCTCCTGCCTCAGTCTCCCAAGTAGCTGGGATTATAGGTGCCCACAACCACACTCAGCTGATGTTTTGTTTTTTTAGTAGAGATGGGATATCACTATGTTGGCCCGACTGGTCTCGAACTACTGTCCTCATGATTCACTTGCCTCAGCCTCCCAAAGTGCTAGGATTACAGATGTGAGGCACTGCACCTGGCCCTTACCTGTCTTTATGGCAAAACAATGTTCTGTTGATGATTGTACCTTAATAAGAAGTGTTAAAATCAGTAGTGTTAGTTTTTCAACTTTGTTTCGTGTATGTGTTCTGTTGTATCTAATGTGTCTTTGTGTTTCTCTGGCACTTTTAAGATTTTTCTCTTTATCACTATTCTGTGGACTGGATTATATCTCCTCTCTGAAATTCATATGTTGAAGCCTAACCCCAGTGGGATGATATTTGGAGTTTGGTCCTTTGGGAGGTAATTAGGTTTAGATGAGATCATGGGGGTGGAGCCCTCATGATGGTATTAGTATCCTTATAAGAAGAGGCATTATGGTTGGCTATGGTGGCCCACACCTGTAATTCCAGCACTTTGGGAGGCCGAGGCAGGTGGATTGCTGCTTGAGGCCAGGAGTTTGAGACCAGCCTGACCAACATGGCAAAACCTCATCTCTACAAAAAATACGAAAATTAGCCAGGTGTGGTGGCACATACCTGTAGTCCCATGTACTCTGGAGACTAAGGCACGAAAAGAAGCTCTAGGCTCATCCTGGGTATTTCTTCCCCTACTCCAGATCCAGAATCTGTCATTTCTCAGGGTGGTTTTGTTTGTTTGTTTGTTTGTTTGTTTGTTTGTTTTGAGACAGAGTCTTGCTCTGTCACCCAGGCTGGAGTGCAGTGGCATGATCTCGGCTCACTGCAGTCTCTGCCTCCTGGGTTCTAGCAATTGTCCTACCTCAGCTTCCCAGGTAGCTGGGATTACAGACACATGCCACTATGCCCAGCTAATTTTTGTATTTTTAGTACAGATGGGGTTTCACTGTGTTGATTGGCTGGTCTCAAATTCCTGACCTCAGGTGATTCGCCCTCCTTGGCCTCCCAAAGTGTTAGGATTACAGGCGTGAGCCACCGCACCTGGCCTTCTCAGGGTGTTTTTAAGTGAGGATGGTGTTTTAAGACCACAGTCTGGGCACTAGGGATGCTGATTGCTATTGGGCTGGTTGTTGTTTGTAGGCATTTTCAATGTACAGGGGTAAGACAGACTTCTAAAAGACAGGGTACCACATTTCTTTGTAGTTAACGTGGTCTGTCAGATTCAGGACTGCAGGGTCTGTACTTCACCTCTTTTCTTTTCTTCCTCTTTTTCTTTCTCTCTGTCTCTCTCTCTTTTTTTTGAGACAGAGTTTTGCTCTTGTTGCCCAGGCTGGAGTGCAATGGTGCGATCTTGGCTCACCAGAACCTCCACCTCCTCCGTTCAAGCGATTCTCCTGCCTCAGTCTCCAGAGCAGCTGGGATTACAGGCGCCTGCCACCACGCCCAGCTAATTTTTGTAATTTTTAGTAGAGACAGGGTTTTGCCATGCTGGTCAGGCTGATCTCGAACTCCTGACCTCAGGTGATTCACCTGCCTTGGCCTCCCAAAGTGCTGGGATTACAGACATGAGCCACCATTCCTGGCCAAATCTCATAATGTTTTAAAAAATTTTACGAATTTGTATTGGGCTGCATTGAAAGCCCTCCTGAGCCCCTGGGCTTTGGGTTGAACAAGCTTGGTTTAAACCAACAACTAGGTACACATTTAGGTTCATTTGTTTCACTTTATTTTCAATTTTGGGGATTTTTCTTTTATTCAGTTTCGCTTTATAACTGCGGAAATATTTTACATGATTCCAAAGTTAGATCTACAAACAAATGAATATTTAAAGAAATCTAGGACAAGCATGTGGGGATAGACAGAGAGAACTTCTATTCCTTTTACCCCCACTGAAAACAAAAACATGAAACTTAATTTGTTACTTTATAACCAATCTTATAAAAAGTATTGTTACTGCTGTCCTTCCCTTGTAGATGTCCACACTGAAGCCGTGCAAGCAGCTCTGGCCAAGTACAAAGAGAGGAAGATGCCTATGCCTTCGAAAAGACGTTCTGTCCTTGTGCATTCGTCTGTGGAGACCTACACCCCTCCAGGTATTGATAATCAGTGTCAGGAGTGGCCTTTTTGAGTGGTTCACAGGCCTGATGTTGTCCTGTTTGCTTCCCATTGAGTTTGGAATATCTGTCTGGCCTGTAGTATAGATTGGACACATTTGGAGATTAAAAATGTTTACATATGCTCATATTCCTTACCTGAAAATCTGTGATGTACATAGTGTTCTTATTGCAAATGGATACTAGCTTTCTATAAGACTTTTTGTGTGGATACTAAGATGCTATTTATGTCTTTTAGTAAAGAGGAAACTAAGCACTAAGCTAAAGCTTCCTGAATTAAGAATTTTACAGTTATTCTCATCTTATTACCTATAACTTAACAGGTTGTAACCAGGACTCACATGCAACAGTGTAAGACTATTTGGAAAGTTTTGGGGCTTATTTTGTTGTGGTTTTATTGGTACCATTAGAAATGAAAATTTTTATGTGAGTTTTCTCTCTAGCAATAATGTATTTTAGTCTTCCTGTTAAACTATACAAGATGTTGATAATGTCTAATGACTTCACATTCGTGAATTTGTATTGTTGTCATATATTTGAGTAACAAAAATAGTGACACCCATTTTTGATTTGATGCATTTGGAGATACTATACAATAAAACCAAACACACCAGATTCACAAGATGATTTGGTGGTTTTGGTAATGCTTTCTTCCTTAAAACAAAAGAAGTTTATTGTTGAAAAAAACTTAGAAATGGTTGTCAAATAATTGTTTCTACTAAATATAGCTATAGATAGTATCTAATTTTAAAATAATATTTTAATAATTTTAAAACCCATAATAAACACGCAGTCATGCAGACTTGAAGAAACCTTAACTTACAATTAATTTTGTTGACTGAAGCAGTTGTCTTGGGGAAGGGATTCTTTTTAGAGCTAGTTCACGATTCCCCTGAAAGGATGCATATAGACAGGGCTGCGGGCCTCCCATGGCCACCATGTTGTTGCTGCGGCCATGCACAGGCCAGGATGCTGCCTCTCTACCTCCAAGGTGTAGGGCCGTGTGCAGTCTTGCTCCTGGGTGATGTTGACTGATGTGTGGATATGATATCTGACTCTGTGTGGACATGTAGCACAGCACTGGATATTCACAGAATGCTTACCAGTCAGGGTCTTCTTTGGTACTCGGGACCCCACTGAGGTATATGCTGAAGCCGTTTGGGAGACAACAGGCTGTCTTCACTTTGAGTGTGTGTGGTTTCTGGGGAGCTGGAGGCTCATGGAATCATTTTCTCCACAGTAGGCCTCCTTGCATACCCTTCTAGATTAAGGGTGACCTTCAAGGTGACTGCAGAGCTGTGCCAGGTGTACAGAAGCATGCTGCACACAGGCTTGGGAGGCTCCAGTGCGAGTGGGAACTCCGTCCTTCTCTTGACTCATCCCAACATCATGCCTGTCATCATTATTTTAACCACAGACACGTCGTCTGCCTCAGAAGATGAGGGCTCTTTACGGCGACCCGGGCGACTCACCTCCACTCCGCTCCAGAGCCATTCCAGCGTCGAGCCCTGGCTCGAGCGGGTCATTCAGGGCTCGTCCACCTCATCCTCTGCATCCTCCACCTCATCTCACCCGGGAGGGAGACCCATCGCCGCTCCCAGTGCTGCAGCCACGCCGGGGGCCGCCGCTGCCACTGCACTCGCAGGCCTTGAGGCCCACACCCACATAGGTCAGTAACAAGCTGCTGCGGCCCCTGTGCCCGCAGAGTGGGATCAGGAGTGTCCAGGATGGAGGCGCCAAGCCCCAGCAGCAGCACCGCTCCTTTTCAAGGAGGAGGTGGAGCACACCTGAGCTGGGCACCTCCCTGCAGACTTAGCTGCAGGCCTGAGTGCTCTCCCAGTGACTGAGGTCACACAACCCAGATAGCCCATGCTGGCTTATCTGCCTGAAACAGTAAACGGAGTTTGAGCTTTTAATAACTGCTTGAAAGAGATGAGGATAATATTTGGTTAATTCATCATTCAGATTAAACCCCTAGTAACCTTTTGAACAATACAGCTCAGTTGCAAAATTTTTCCCCTCTAAGACCTACCTCTTTTTCATCTGGAAAATGTCCTTTTGGTAACAAAAGTAATTCTTGATGCTTCTGTGATTTGGCAGTCCTAGGCCTTTGGGGCATGGGGCCTCCCTCCTAGTCCCCTAGAAGGGTGTGGTGTTTCTCAATGTCATAACACCCTTTCCTGCTCTTGAGGGGCAGCTGGTGTGCATAGCAGGTGCAGGAGTGCATGGTCAGCACACATACGTATCTGCTGGTGGCTGTAACCATCACCCTTGACCTGGCTGCCTCTCTGTTTTCCATGCCTTTCCTCTTGGCTGTATGTTCATAGGTGCAGGGCCGTTGGTTGTTTCGGTACCTGGCTGGAATTCTGAGGTGAGGGAAGAAGGCTGCAGTGTGGTCTGGCCTTTGCTCCTCCAGATACCAGGTTAGACAGCCTTCCTCCTGAAAAGGTATCAGTCAGAGCTAATTATATGGATGCATGGATCTTTTCCAGATCATACAGTCATTTGAATTACATTCATCTTAGAAATGAAAAAAGTACAAACCTTTCATCCTTTGAAATTCAATTTTTTTAACTAAAATGGCAGCATAGTTAGCTGTATGTAGCTGGCTTGTGAAGCCCACATACATTCTTACACAAGTGCCTTAAAATACAATCAATATTGTTGAAGACTCATCTTAATCCCCTCCTTTCTTTTCCTAGATGAGGAAGGAAGACAGAAAGTCAGGTGATTGTGAGCTGCCTAAGATCACACAGCAGCCTAAGTGGTGAAGCCAGGGCTGATACCATTTTCTTGATTCCTGTTCAGTTTGTTTGCTTTTAGTTGCTTTTCTGCCAAAACTGAAATGGTGAGCACCTGCAGTGCAACCATGACAGGCTGGTGTTTGTGGTGGGGTCCCCATGGACCACCTCAGGCTGTTACTGGGCTCATGTACTGAGCTCTTTTTTGTAAAATCTTGGTCACTTGGCTGAACTGGGGACAGATTGGGTATGTTGAGTGGCCCACAGCTTCTGTGTCAGCATCCTCTGTAGGGCACGTCACTATTGCTCTTCACTTTTTATTTGTTTGAGTCAGTATATCTGTGTGTTTAACATGTGTCCTTCTTCTGAGGTGTCAGTCTCAGATGAAAGCTCACAGTGCCCTGCTCTGACTCCACATTGCTTCCAGCTCATAGAGTAACTGCCAAGGCTGCCAGGGTAGGAGGAGAAGGCAGCATTTTCCACAGAGAAAGTGCCTTTTTGGAAAATGGCCTGCCCAGATTATTTCTGTAGCTTTCCTGGGTGTTCCATGGCCAGAGGCTGCTGCCCACCTTTCCTGGGAGGTGTACCGTCCATACCTTGAAAACAGCTTTTGCACCATTATTTTCCTTCTCTGTTCATCATTGGAGGTTTAACTTTGTAGAAATACATAGTTAACTCCAATTCTGAGGCAGGTGCAGGAAAACAGTAGTTTTAAATGTTCTATTACCTCATTTCTTCTTCCAGAAGTTCCTTTCTAGGTGAGATGGTGCAGGAGAGCAAACATTTGTAGTCTGAGTTTGTTAGCCATTGCTGAGCCATCTCAACACTGTTTCCTGGTGATGAGGAGTTTTTATTTTAGAAATAAAAGCTTTATTCAGCATGAAAAATTAGCCACAGTTCAGACTGTTTAACCGTATAGCCCTCAACTTTCCAGTGATGGTGGGGTGTCTTTAAACAAAGCATTTAACTCTAATGTGTGTTCAAATTACATGTTTTCATTCTCTGAAAAGGACTTGGCTGCAATTATTTATAATGTAGGTTTATTACCTGTGTTGATAGAAGACAACTCCTGACTCCTGCAAATGTAGCTATAATGACCTCTTCCTTTCTTATTTGCTAGTCCCAGCGTTGACATTTTATGATCAATTCTATTAATTTAAAAAATTCTTGGCCGGGCGCGGTGGCTCAAGCCTGTAATCCCAGCACTTTGAGAGGCCGAGGCGGGTGGATCACGAGGTCAAGAGATCGAGACCATCCTGGTCAACATGGTGAAACCCC